CCTCAAACAAACGGTCCTATCATTCAATAGGGACTCCTATCAAACAGCAGGTTGCCATGAAAGGTGCACACATTTTCACTGCCAGGCACAGATACCATGAATCCCCCGGCCCTCTATTCAAGATTACTGGTGTCCCATGGTTCCGTTGGGAACTGTTGCCTCCCTCCATCTACTTTCACTTTACAAGAACAGCTTGTCATGCAAAATACTATGCAATGTAGTCTTAAAGCCTGTGTTAGGAGAAAGCAGAACAAGCAGAACATAAAATAAATAATTAGGCAGCAGCTACATTACTCACTTTATTTATTTATTTACTATGCTTGTATACAGCCCCTTTCAGCCCGGAGGCAACTCGAGACAGTTTACATTTGGCAATCAATGCCCCACAAGATAAAATACAGTCAAAAATAATTACATCTAGTATAAACCGTATAAAAACAATAACAATAAACAATAAAAGTAATAAAATACAGTTCTCAGCATCTCATCAATAAAATCTAATGTCCCTAGGGAGGGCGTTCCATAGCCAGGGGGCCACCGATGAGAAGGCCCTGTCTCTCGTTCCCACCAATCAGATCTGCGAAGAAGGCGGGACCAAGAGCAGGGCCAGGTCAATCAGAGGATGTCCCGCATGATGAAGGGAGAAGCAACAGAATGATTATCATGCTATCCAAATGTTGTTCAGTAAGTCAGTCATCCAGATAATCAAAGCAAGTAAGAAGGGAAACAGAATCACAAATTGCAGTCAGTCCAAGGCCAAGAAACCACTAACACTGAAAAATACTGCCAAATTTCCATGGAGTGGTTGAGAGATTTATAGGCAGCTGTCTCCACATACTGGCCCCTAATTAGGCCAGAATTTCCTACTTTATAACCTCTGGAAGAAGCACCACCTCTCCTTCTGCCACTCAAATAATGATGGCGATGAGTTCTTCAGCATCTGCATTCTTCTGATGGAGAATAGAGACCCTCTCTGTCTCAACATTTAGACCCAGAAAGCCCATTGTTAGGAGATGCGGATTCCTAGCAGTCTGCCTTTTCATCTCCATCAAAATCATCTGACTCTGGGTGAGTTATGACAATCATAGGTCTGGTTCAGTCTCCTCATTCCTGATGTCAGCCAAAGTTTAGAAAACACAGACTGTTCCTTCCCAGGACAACTTCAGAGATAATCATTGCTATGCTGCAATCCATTGGCTGAAAACACAGAAACCCACTTTTGGGTTTCACAACCAAGGAGCCTCCAGTGGTGCAATGGGTTAAATCCTTGTGCTGGCAGGACTGAAGACTGACAAGTCAGAGGTTCAAATCTGGGGAGAGTGCAGATGAGCTCCCTCTGTCAGCTCCAGCTCCCCATGTGGGGGCATGAGAAAAGTCTCCCACAAAGATGGTAAAACATCAAAACATCCAGGCATCCTGTGGGCAACATCCTTGCAGATAGCCAATTCTCTCACACCAGAAGTGACTTGCAGTTTTTCAAGTCGCTCCTGAGATGGAAAATAAAACAACCAAAGGAGTCCTGCAGATGTCATTTCCCAAAGACCTTATCTGGAAATCCTTTGGATGGAACACTGCCTTGCTGAAAAGATTGATGAAGAGTTCAGCAGTGGAACTTTCTGCCCCAGAGTGTGGTGGAGGCTCTTTCTTTGGAAGCTTTTAAACAGAGGCTGGATGGCCATCTGTCAGGGGTGATTTGAATGCAATATTCCTGCTTCTTGGCAGGGAGTTGGACTGGATGGCCCATGAGGTCTCTTCCAACTTTTTGATTCTATGATTCTATGAATAATATTCCCAAAGTGGGAAAAGTTAAATCAAGAGGCTGTGGTTGTGAGGCCTGCACTGAATCTAATGGGCTGGATTTTAATTCATGGAATTGCATACATTGAGATTAAGTAAAGATTCTGGAAAAACAGGTTACAAAGAAAGGGGCTTAAAGATGGAATGAGATACTGGAGAAGAGAAGAAGAATTGTGAGCAATTTGTTGCAATGTGAGTATTTATTCCTCTGCACACACATGCAAACAGATGTGCACATGCATGGAGGGAAGGGTAGATTGGGAGGTGACAATTTCTAGGGAAAGACCCTTCTAAAATTGGATCAAAACTCCCAAAAACATACCTTTCCATGGAGCTCTTTTTGTCCATCCTAAAATAATTTGTTGAAATCCTCATTATTGCTTTGAGAAAGACAGCAAAAATGTCTGGTTAACTTAATGAGATCCCCTGGCCACGACCCTAAAACCTTAACTTCTGCGATTCAAGACTGAGGCTGTGACTTAAAAACCACACAAAAGGTAGCAGCAAAACCAAGAGTTCATGATCTTTCTAACTCAGGTCTTATTGCATTGTCAAAGGCTTTCATTGTCAGAATAAGTGAGTTGTTGAATGTTTCTAGAATTGGCCATGTTCTAGAAGCATTCTCTCCTGACGTTTCACCTGCATCTATGGCAGGCATTCTCAGAGGTTGTGAGATCTGTTGGAAACTAGGAAAATTGGGTTTATTTATTTATTTGTTTGTTTCTAGTATTTCTATCCCGTCTCTTCACTACCCCCGAAGAGGGACTCAGGGCGGCTTACATATAGTAGTGATGCAACGCCGGTATCCAACAATTACAATAATATAATCACAATTAAATACAACAGTAATCATTAAAACAGTAATACATAAAACCATAAAATAATATCACAATATCTTCAGCCATAATGTAATTCCAGTCCATGTCTAGTTACAGTGCTATTTATGCCTATTATCCGAAAGCCTGGTCCCAAAACCATGATTTTTTTTCTAACGGCCAAGAGCGAAAGTCCAGGGTGGGAGAAAGAACTCTTGTCTGTTGGAGCTAAGTGTGAATGTTTCAGTTGACAAACTTGATTAGCATTTGATGGCCTGACCATTTTTAGGTATGACTTGTTACTGCCTAGGGAAATCCTTTGTTGGGAGGTGATTCGCTGTCCCTGATTGTTTCTTGTCTGGAGTTCCCCTGTGTTTGAGTGTTGTTAGTATCCAATTGAAACATTCACACCTAGCTCCAACAGACAAGAGTTATTTCTCCCACCCAGGACTTTCCACAGATATATAAACGCCATTTTTCTAGTTTCCAACAGACCTCACAACCTCTGAGGATGCCTGCCATAGATGCAGGTCAAATGTCAGGAGAGAATGCTTCTAGAACATGGCCATACAGCCTGAAAAACCTACAACTCAGGTCTTATTTCATAAACAAAGCAATAGTTGTCCTCCAGAGTTGGCTTTTTAATCTCTACTATTTTTTTAAAAAAAATCTCTGTCAATGTTATTGCACATAAAAATATTTTACCCATATTTATTTAAAACATTTTTAGCTTTGCCCTATATCAGACAATCTCTGGGCAGCATACAGGTAAAATCAATATTAACAGCTTAAAACAATTTAAAACAATAAATATGATTTAAATCACAGAGGAGCTCCACACACTCTCCTGGCAAATGCCAGCTCTCTGGCAGGTGCATTTAGGAAGAAATATATTGAGAAATATGAGTATTGTCCACTGTGGAAAACAATAGTCTTGATATATTCAGTTGGCCAGGGGAGAGCGGAGATAGCGTATAATTAAATAACACAATAATAATAATAATAATAATAATAATAATAATAATAATACTTTATTTATACCCCGCTCCATCTTCCCCAAGGGGACTCAGTGCGGCTTACATGAGGCCATGCCCATCAGTACAATACACAACAATATAACACAAGAACATAATAAAACCAAAAAATAAAATACATAAATGCAAAACAATGTAATAGCAACCCAACAATATAAAATCAGACATTAAACACAAAAGATTTCACTGGGCAGGGCCAAATTCAGGATAAAATTTTAAAACACTGGGAGATAGGACAATTTCAAACATCAGGAGGGGGATCCGGGAATGAGGAAGGATTTAATTGCATGAACCATAAATAAAGTGCTACTGAGGTCATTTCGTGCGAAGTTTTTGACCAGGGAGTACCTTACGTTCAATCACTGAAGGCACATTGGAATAATCAGGTTTTCAGATTCCTCCTGAAGATTGCCAGCATGGGGGCTTGCCTAATGTCTTTGGGAAGTGAGTTCCAGAGTCGAGGGGCCACCACAGAGAAGGCGCATGGTTCATATTTGGGTCTACACCAATGCATATGTGTTTCTGAACAAATTCAGTGATCATATACATTGTTCATTCGTTCAGTCGTCTCCGACTCTTCGTGACCTCATGGACCAGCCCACGCCAGAGCTCCCTGTCAGCCGTCACCACCCTCAGCTCCTTCAAGGTCAGTCCAGTCACTTCAAGGATGCCATCCATCCATCTTGCCCTTGGTCGGCCCCTCTTCCTTTTACCTTCCACCTTCCCCAGCATCATTGTCTTCTCTAGGCTTTGCTGTCTCCTCATGATGTGGCCAAAGTACTTCAACTTTGTCTCTAGTATCCTTCCCTCCAATGAGCAGTTGGGCTTTATTTCCTGGAGGATGGACTGGTTGGATCTTCTTGCAGTCCAAGGCATGTCCATGGAAGGAATACCTAAGCTGTATTGAGTTCCATGATAGAAGGAAGGCAGACTGAAGGTCCACTAAATCAGGTTTTTTGAAGGCTTTTAAACAGAGGCTGGATGGCCATCTGTCGGGGGTGCTTTGAATGCGATTTTCCTGCTTCTTGGCAGGGGGTTGGACTAGATGGCAGACAAGGTCTCTTCCAACTCTATGATTCTATGAATATTTTGACACCCTTAGATCCTCGTAATGCTCTGGAATGGGGCCTCCATTAAAGCAACAGTGGGATCTGAGGCTTGCTGCAAAATCTGCCAGCCTCCTTGAATTTCCAGCAGGTTGCACTTATTCTTTTGCTTTTTCTGCCATTCCCACCCTGTGGACCATACCTCCCAGATATAGATATATATATATTTATTTGTTTACATGAGGTTTGCCTTGTCTCCTGGCGGTTCCCCTTCGCGTGTGAGCTTAGAATTAATCCTTTTGTGGCAAAGAGGGGGGGGGTGAGTGTATATGTGCGTTTCCCCCGCTCCCCCTTCCTCAGCCACACACACAAACACACACAGGCGCACCGCTCCTTCCTTCCCGCCTTGCTGTGTGTGAACTCCAATGTAGATGCTCTCCATAGCCGGGAGGAAGGTGGGTGGGAGGTGTGGGGTGTGGTTTTTTTTTAAAGGAAAATCCCCCACTTCCTTTCCTTCCCCTCCTCATCCTCCTCTCCCTCCTCTTCCTCCTCCTCCTCCTCCTCCCCCCTCCAAGGCATGCGAAGCTGCAAAATGGTCCGAGTGGTGAGCGTCCTGGGTCTGGTGATGCTCAGCGTGGCTCTCCTGATCTTGTCCTTCATCAGCTACGTCTCCCTGAAAAAAGACAATATCTTCACCACTCCCAAATATGCCAACACGGGGGTGCCCAGGATGTATATGTTCCACGCCGGATTCAGGTGAGTGGGTGGGGGGGGGGGTGATTATTTAGTCAGAATATTCATTTATTTATTTATTTCAGGAATCCCCCCTCCTCCCTTTTTTCCTCCTCCTTTCTTTTAACCAGCTGGGGAACTAGATAAAGGCTGCACAGGCTTAGGAGGAAGAGGAAGGGGGGAAGAAGAGGGGGGCATAAAAAGAGAGCAATGTCCTTCCTAAATACACACCCTGAGATGTATCTCTCGACCCCCCCCTTTTTTCCCAACCTTGATGCCAGACATAACACAATCTCTCTCCCCCTCCCCCTTTATTATTATTATTTTTACAATGTGGGCATCAAGCCCATCAGGGAGGTTGGAGGTTTTGGCATTAGTGGCTAGAGAAAGGGAGGCCTGAGGGTGGATGGATGGGTGGAGTGAAGAGGGGGGAGGGAAGGGTGATGAAGGGAAACTAAGGGATGCTGAGGAAGGAATGAGGATGCAGGAAGGCCCTTTGGCGCAGGCGCCCTGGGCTTCAGCTGATGGAAAGGTGGAAGGGGAGGGGAAGGAGAGACCCCCCACTGCCTCTTCCCCAACTGCCCTATGGGGAGGCTATGGAGGGTCTTTACTCCCTCCCACTCCATCCATCTTTCCTCCCTTCCTTCTCTCTCTTAGTCCCTCCCTAGGCTGGACAGCAGGGTGGAAAGGGGAGATAGAGTCTCCTTTGTGGGATGATGGGTTTTGCAGTGATATTTTTAAAATCCTGGAGAGGATTTCCAGAGTCTTCCCTCACCCAGAAAAATAGGCTTGCTTGGGTCTTCCTCTGTAGCTTATATTATTATTATTATTATTATTATTATTATTATTATTATTATTATATAACAAAAGTAGTATACAGCAGACAAGATCTATATGCTGGCTTTTGTATTTCATCACACATCAAACATTCCCAAATGTCTAGGACTATATTATTATTATTATTATTATTATTATTATTATTATTATTATTTGATACATAGCAAGATGAGTACACAGCAGACAAGATCACTATGGTGGCTATTGTATTTGATCACATGTTGGACACTTGTGATTGTTATTATTATTATTATTGCCTTTTCTTCTTTTAAGGAGGCTCAAAGCAGCAATGGGGAGGTGGGTGGGATGTTCCTACCAAAGGAGAGGGGAAGAAATGAATCACAGTTCTTGCTCCTAGGGATCTGGTCAGTCCACACAGAGACCAGAATATATTTTGGATATTTTTACAACAGCTCTCACACACCACCCTTTTCCTTCACACCTTTGGTAATATATTTGGAAACTGTTCCCCTTCACGACAGGGAAAGGGAACAAGGAGCTGTCAGGCGAGTGTGAGGTGCTGAAGATGGGAGAACAGAAGCAGAAAGGCTTTCCCAGTGAGGACCCTGTTGAGGAGGCTGCTGTCCTTGGTGCTGAATTTGCATTCACTTTCTCTGATCCTCCAAAGCAAGCTGTCTTCATGCCAGGGTGCATCTATACCAAGCATAGGCAAACTATGGCCTGCCAGGTGTTTTGGACTTCAACTTCCACAATTCCTGGCCTTAGGCCCCTTTCTTTTCCCCCTCAGTCACTTAAGCATCTGAGGGGGAAAAGGAAAGGGCCTGAGGCTGTTAGGAATTGTGGGAATAGCAGGCCAGTGCCTGATCTATACTTTGGAATTAATACAGTTTGATACCACTTTAACTGCCATGGCTCAATACAATGGGGTCATGGGAGTTTTAGTTTGGTAAGGCACCAGCATTCTTTCACAGAGAAGTCTAAAAGCCTTGTTAAAACTACAACTCTCTTAGCATGCAGCCATAGTAGTTAGTCGCAGCAGACAATGAATTCTACAGTGCAGATGCACCCCACAGAAGATCATTTGCAAATGACATATAGGTTTAAACATACATTCCTCCACAGTTGCATTTTAATGAGAGATATAGTTTTACAAGGCCTTTAGACTTATCTAGTATATTACAAAATCATTCAGCTGAAACAGTTAAAGTGGTATCAAACTACATTAATTATACAGTGCAGATGCTCCCTCAGTCCCATCACTCACTTGGTGAGGAACAAGAGAGAGACTTCTTTTGGCTGCATTCTGCATTGTATAAGGAATGCAATCTGACACTTTAACTGTTCTGGCTGAATGCCATGAGATCATGACAATTGTAGTTTTACCAGGTCTTTAGCCTTCTCTGCCAAAGAGTTCTGGTTCCTCACCAAAATGCACCTCTCCTAATTCCATAGCATTGAGCCATGACAGTTTATTGGTGGTTTCCAATTTTTGGCCCTCCAGGTGTTTTGGACTTCAACTCCTAGAAATTCCAGCCAGTTTACCAGCTTCTAGGAACTGTGGGAGCTGTAGCCCAAAACACCAGGAGGTCCAAAAGTTGGGAACCACTGTGTGCCAAATAGCATTCACTTTACAGTGTTGGAAGAGCCTCAATGGCTGCTCCAACCCTCTGGAATTTCCCTCCACAGGAGGTCCACCTGGCCCCATCCTTGCTTTCCATTCATTGACAGTCAAGTACATTTCTGCTCAAACAGGGTTTTAATATATAATTACTCTTAAGGAGGATATTGGGGTTCATGGTTTGTTTTTATGCTTTTCACTTTTGTATCCTTTTCTAGCAATTTTAAGCTGTTTCAGATGTTTTTTAAACTGTATTTTTATTTTATTTTGTTGTTAGGTTGGTATTATTGTAATTAATTTTATCCATAAGCTACCTTGGATCCCACTTTGGGAGAAAGTAAGGTAGCATATAAATAAAACATGAATAGATAAATGTTTCTATGGGTTTCTAGCCCTGTCTTCCTGGCTGGGACACTATTAAAATTTTAGTGGGGTGCTGTTCTAATTTATTTACAATGAAATTTATTATAATATTTCAACAGGTGAAATACTACATTCATTTTCAATTTTTCACAGGGTCTTTGCCAATCACAGTTAAAAATATTCCATTAGGTCCTATGGACTAATGACCTAACAGTATAAGGAAGGTCCATTTACTTATCTGTATACCACTTGAAACATACTTTGCATATTGTGTTTTTATGTTGCCATATTAATATATAAAATAGCCCATAACACATTTTAAGACTGTTTGTAAAACTGCCTAAATTTGTGTAATAACTCCATTATAGTTTCTCAAGGCGCCTAAAATATCTCAGACAACATGTTCTCTCCTCATGTAGCACATTTTCATATGTTTCTTGTCATTCCATAAAGACAACTGATACATTTCCTGCATATTTATGGGACAGATTAGATTCACTGAATCAGTGAAACATATGTATATATGTTGGCTTTTAAAATGTCCTAGGACTCAAAACATCTCAGAGGGCTTCACATCCCTAGTTGGTGGACCTTTAGTTTCAACTTAAGGTCATGTCATAATGCCGCCTCTTCTAGCATTTAATACATCAGGATGGTCAGGATGTTCTTTCTAATGTTTAGTATTATTATTATAGTTAAAATTCAGTTTCTGTTAAATGGAATCTGTTGGTTCAGATCCTACATCTGAAGCAACAGAAATTGTTCCATTTTTATAGACACTATCATGAAGGAAACAACAAGCTAGAGGTATTAAAAAGTGGTGTTTATTTGCTGTGCTAGTTGAAAAATCCTTATTTAGTCCAGTGTAACCATTAAAATAGGAAACAGACTATTGTGGAAAAACAGATGACACTTCTGTTACAGTATGAGAACATATGGACATCTTTAGAGGTGTGGAACGCATAGGTACCACATTGGGGCTGAAATCCAATAAGCAAATGACCTATGTAGAAATCTCCATTGGTGTACCTACTTTGTCATTGATGGGAGACCAAGGATTTTCTAGTTCTGCCTCTATACCTTTTCTCTCCTGGGTGTACCAAAGCAGCTGTGAATGTGTATGCTTCTGTATCCCATTAATCACACATTTTCATCAGGGGCAATGACTTGGGAAAGAGCCACTTGTGCCCCCAGCATAAAGCTGCTCTTTCCTTATAATCCATGACCATAGCCAAATACACAGACAATCAATGACCAAGAGAATGGAGCTTGGTCTGCAACATCCCTGACTGAAGGAATTTTCACAGGGGGGTATTTATGCTTTAACTTATTGTCAACCCTATCAGTGAGAGACCTCTAAGAGCCCTGGTCATTGAAAGTTTGGTGCATGTCCTGCAAACACAGGACTATGACTTCCTGGTTGAACTGATTCAGCTGTGATGTGATTGCACTATTGTAGGATTGAGATGGAATGTAAGAAGATCCAAAAAGATGCAGATCATATCCCTTGCCCTCAATTTTCAAATGAGTCTGTAATGTGCTACAGATCTTTCAGATGTTTTCAGAGGTCAGTTAGTTTTGATGTGTGAAAGCAACAAAGCTGTGTATCTGTTTGTCAAATGTAGAGTGGCATGGCTGACATAGGATGGAATATATCACATTGGAGGAAGAACAAGCAAATGTACCTCTAATGTTGTGGATGATGTTAGGCCCCTGTAATATTGATCCTCGAGTAGATGTAGAGACAGAGTTGGCATTTAGGTCTGTGGCAGTATCATGTCCCCGTGTTACTCCTCATGTTATGTAGTTGTTTAAGGCCACTGAAAGCCTGCCTCCCAGAGCTTGTGAGAGGGTTGTGTTATTCTCTCAAATTGTTTGAAGCTCATTGATGTTGTGGTTCAGTGGTCTCAGCTGGGGACTGCAGGCGATCACTAGGGGTGTTCTATCATTTTGTACTTCTGGTCTCTCCTGTGGTAAATGGTTCCAAGGTATTATTCTTACTTTGTTTCTTCAACTTCTTAGGTGGGCATTTGCAGTTTGAGAAATATGTGTTATAAATTTTAATAATTTGAAGTCTCTGTTTTATCAGCCTGAACAGATGTGGTTCTATCAGACAGTTTAGTGATAAACAATAGATTTGGCAACAGGTTCTTGGTGGAAACTAGAAATGTGTAAGTATATGTAATGATTAGTGGGGTTTTGATAGAATGTGAAACTTAGAAGTCCATTGTGAAGTTGCACAGTGGTGTCAAGAAGGTGAATTTGTTGTGCGAATTGTTCCAGGCTCAGGTTGATGGAAGGGTGAAAGTTGTTGAAATCCTAGTAGATCTTCTCAAGTATTTGCTTTCTGTATGACTGAAGTCATCTAGAAACCAAAGGTAGATGAGAGGTTGTTGAGTGCATGTGTTGAGGAAGCAATGTTCCAGGTCAGTGATGAATATGTTTTTATATTGTGGTGTCACATGGGTGCTCAGAGCAGTGCCACTGAGTTGAGATACATGCTAAGTAAGTACAAAGTAGTGGAGTTTGGTCTGCCATAGCCTCATTAAGGTTGGTATTAAGGATGACTTTTAAATCATCTTGGTGTGGGATGTTGGCGTATTGGGAGTCCAATTAAACTTGAGCCGACCTGGATGAGTAGATCATCAGTATGATTTTTCATGGATGGCTGTACTTCTGCCAGCCTCATGATACCTCCTTGTTGTGCATAGAATGGTGCCACTTGAGCTACCCATAGACCATTACTCACTCAGATAACTAGCATTTTTATCAGTATATCTCATCAGAATAACTTTAGGAACAAAGAACCTAGAGTCAGAATTGTATGAGGAAGAGAACAGAGTAGGCAGTAGAATGAGAAAGGTTGAAAGGGTAGGCAAAGGAAATGTCATAGCTATTCTATTGAAAATGTCTCCAACATAGCTATTCATCTGAAGTGAAAAGTAATGTGACGTAACCATATAAATACATTTAGATTCCGTAAGGTGCCACCGTTCTTCTTCATCTATGTGACAATGATTAACTGAACCATTGGTCTGTATTTAATTCTGGATTGTCATAGAGCTTAGAAATCTTACTTTTGGGATTGCAATTCCCATATTCTCATAGCCAGCAGAGAGTTGCCCTGCTAGCTGAGTGATTCTAAGAACAGACATCCAACAACTAACTTTTCAAAACTTGATTTTGTGTGTAAATCCTTGGACGTACTTACTGAAATATGGATATGTGATCCTTTTCAGGTCCCAGTTTGCACTGAAGTTCCTTGATCCTTCATTTGTACCCAATACAAACTCCTTGAACCATGAATTGCAGGATAAATCTCCCAAATGGACATTCAACAGAACAGCATTCTTGCAGCAAAGGTGAGAGGCATGAAAAGCAACCCGAACAGTGGAGTTAAGCACATGTTTTTATCCAGGGATTCCAATCGTTATTAGCCCTTTGGCTAATTATTTACCACCACACAATATGTGATCTTGGGAATGTTAAAGAATATCCAGCAGCTTTACAATTCAACTAGGAATAAATTACCAAAATTCAGAGATGAACTCTGGGTTTAAATCCAAAAGTTCTAATGTGTTAACATGTTTTAATTACCTCTCAAGTCATTCAGTCCAAGGGGAAATGTGGAATACTAAACTGAAGTTTTTGTTATTTAAGAGAGAGGGGAGAATTGTTACAGATCTGTAGTCAAACACTTGGCTTCTTTCTAATCCATTTATTTAATCCTTTCTCATCTATATGACCTCTAGCACACATCAGTCTCAGTTATACTTTCCATGATTCTTCTTTCTGATGACTCTGATGTCAGCTGAAGAGGAGAAAAAGAACAACAATCATGGCTGAGGGGGAGCGGGAAGGGGAAGAAGAGGGAGGGAAGGAAGGAAGGATCATTGTTCATTCTTTGTTCATCTCCATCCCTTGCTGGAGACAATGGCAGCTGCTAGGTTCCATGTCAACCAAGCAACGAAACTACTCTAGGTTTTACTCTAAATTTCAGAGGAACTCTCTGGAGTTCTATACTCAGCTCTAAATAGGCTCAGCATCTTAGATAGCTTCTTTAAAGGTCAAACTAAAACCTGAAGCAGATTTATCACTCCACTGACATGGAACCCACCAGCTTCCACTAGTTACTTCATGGTAGACAGTTACTTCATGGTAGTCATATTGGCCACGCAGCAAAATACAACAAAAGCCACAAAATAACACCTTTATTGGCCAACTAAAATGTACAAAATACATCTTGTTAGAGTCATTGACTCACATTTTTCCTAATTACTGTTTGCGTTGTCAGTTAAAATGACATGGAAAGATCTCAATGCAAGTGGATGCTACTCCCCTTTTTGGCCATTCGGGGACTATAGACATCATTGCTTGGGCTTCCCTACATCAAAAGGGGGTTTGAATTAGTTGGCTTGAAATGTACCCTCCATAGGTGCAATATTCATATGTCACAGAATCTTCCAACCATCATAACATTCTGGAAGTTATAGCTCAACACACTTAAAGTCCAATTCATTGGAGAAAGCTAGGTTATAAGTCCCTCTCTCCACATCTATGATTTATCTTTTAGCCACCAATTTTCCTCAGACACTTCAAGAGACGAAGAACTGCATGCATAGATTGCTATCTCCTCTAACTTTCTCTGGATTTTCCTCATAATGATAGAGAAGACTTTGGAATCCTTAACAGATAGAACCCGTTGCTTGATAAGGAGTGCCATCACATTGTGGGTTTAACAGATATCCATGTTTTACCTTGTCCATCCTCTTTCTGACAAGGGTACACACCTAGGTATTAGGTAGAAAACAAGAAATCAGGACTCTGAGTTTCTCCCCCTTATGTTTCTATTGTTTGTTCCCTGATCATTTGAAATTAGTCTTGTTATTAATGTCATCAGACATTTTTGTTTGGTAGCTATCTGTTCTGTTAGAGATATAAACCAGGATGATCCAACTGTGCTACATTGTAAAGAAAGATAGATGTTTTGGACTAGCTGAATGGGCTGATGCATGTTTAATACTGATTTGTCCATAGCTAAGGGATTAAGAGACAACTACAAGATCAGTGTGTTATATTTGTTCATTTGTAAAATGATGTACTTTTCTTGTAACGTGACCAGTGATATAAAAATTCTTCCATTGTCGTTATGCATCTCCAAGTCAACAATGAGTTGTAACAATACTAACCTAGAGCTTCTTGGCAAGATATATTCAGAGGAGATTGTCATTGTCATCTTCTAAATCTGAGGGAATGTACCTTACCCAAGGTCACCTGGTGGCCTTTCCTGGCTGAGCCTGGACTTGAACCCGGATTCTCAGAGTATTAGAGCAGTGCTGAAACCAGTCAACCATTCTGGCTCATGATATAAAATAACTATAATAAGTAAAATAGATACAAAATCCAATTCTTCCTCCCTGTGGCCTCCTTAATTTCTTGGGACATTTCCCTTCTCTCAGCCTAACCACAGTAAAAGTCTGTGTATGCAAAGATGTTAACCATCATTAGTCAAATGGATGGCAAAATTTGATAAAAGAAGAACTAAGTTAAACTTAATCATGGTTAAGACAGCTGAAGGTATGTAGGGCAAAGAAGGAAGCAAGGCTATAGGAAAGGGGATATCTGTAGAAAACATGCACAACTGATTGTAGTTAAAATAGACCCACACGGCTTTTGTGTAAAAGGCAGAACAACCTGAAATTCCACCTTCTGTTCAACAAATAAACTGTTCAAATGTCCGAGAGATTTCTTCTCCAGAGCTAGATAAAACAAACTAAGATGGAATGAACCATAGCACCACAGGATCAAAGGGGATGTGTTCACTCTTGATTTAATTACAGTTTATTTCAACAAAGAAAAGGGTAGATGGTAGATTGCGTGGCTTTTGAAATTGGAATGGCAAAAGGAAACACAATAGCATTTGGGTTAGGCATGTCATAAGCTCAGATTCCATTTGAGTGTAACCTTGTAAGGCAGACAACAGTGCAATATGAAATTTCACTGAACAAGCAAGAGTCTACTCCATTTCGATATAGCTGTAGTGTCTGCTTATCTGAGAGGCACGGCACTGAATGGTTTCCAAGGAACCTTCCTGAAGCTTTCTGTATTCCATTGTACTGGCAAACTCCAACACAAATTGTTGTCAGAAAAGAAAAATCTCACTGGATATGTTAAGGAATGGAAATTAATTTCTGGAGCTTTGTTCTGCTCACTGGGTAGCAGAGAAAAATATAGAGAATAATTATAGATTCAAAAAATCTGTAAACAAAATTATAGCACCTACCAGAACTTGGGATGTGTCATTCACATTTCCCCCAAAAGTGGGTTTTGGATTATTATTTTTTACCACAACCCTATTTTGCTCAAAAGGACAAGCCTTCAGCTGAAAGGTTATGCATATGTAACATCACCTAGGGAAGTAGTTAGACACATTTGTCCAATGCAAATGTCCACATTGCCAGGAGGGACAGACATTGTCACTCATAATATGCACAATTCTTCTTCCGTGACCTTGAATTCTGTTGAAGGTGATGTATGTCCAGTGGTTTCCTTTGCCAGTAGTTGCTATATTCACTCATCTCTCTGAACTTTAAAGGTTACCCAACATGCCAAACCTATTTGAGGAGGTTGATGTTACATTAAATTTCAGATTAATTTGAGAGTGAAAACATTGCCTCATTGAATTAGAGGCCATAACCTGCTCTTGAAGGGTTGGAATCATGTGGACCTCTAGATATTGTTTGACTGCAAGCCCCATCATGCTGAGAGAGTTTTTTCTGCCTCTACTTTCAGACAATGACCTTGTGGATTTTATCCATACTATCTGGAAAATTATGGGATTTGCAGCCCAGAGAGTTCTTCCCACTTCATAACATTGGTTGCATGACTGAGATTGAGTAATTTACAACATAGTAATATCAGAAAATTACACACAAAATGCAGCGTTTACAGAGGAAGGCGCTCAATTTAGGTACTGGGGGCAATCATGCCAGTTTCATGAATAATATCCATTTTCACCTTGAATTTTGAGAAGGAGAACCAGTGGACATTAGACAGTCTAGCAAATAAGTAATGAAGTTTTCAGATACTCAGTTGTTGAGTTTTCTTTTGATGAGCAAATGGAAACCCATCACATGTAGCATTTGTACTAGCCTTGTTCACTTTAGGGAGAAATTTTAATATTCATAACTGGCCTTATGGCTCCCCAAATATAATATGAAGGAGTCGTGACTCTGCAAAAGAGAGACTAATGAATGTTGCTTTAAGATGGCAAGCGATGATACTGGAGTCATTCCCTTCAAAACCTCGAGCTCATTATCATAAATGTCATTTAAGGTTGACTTGAGAATTTTGCATCAGTGATGTAAGAGAACAGCTGGTGACATTTCCTTGCAAAGCTCATTACTGTCCTGTGAAAGGTTCAATATGTGAGACCTTCACCGTTTAATTTACCTCAAATGGTAGCAATATACTGAAAAATAATCAGATTGCAGCCTCAAAACAAAATGCTTTCTATATGCCATCTACAGAGTTTGACAAATAAGCATCAGTCAGCAGAGTCTCAATTATATGGTCTCAGTGTTACTCAGAAAAAAAAATTCTCTCTATCCTTTTCTTTTACTGGAGGAAAGGAAAATGCATTTCTTAAAATAAAAAGTCTAAACTATTTGTGATAATTGCATTCTCAGACATATTGGACAAACATGAACTGCAGCACCTCCCATTCATCTTGATTGCTTCCAGTTCTCCAGCTCACAGAAAGACCCATGAAAGGCCACAAATAGCCCTCAGGCCCTTTAGAAATTGCTCATCTTTGCTCTACAAGATAAAGAATGAAAGTCTCAATCTGAAAAATTACAGAGTTATAGACCTTCATCCATCTGGGAGTCCAAACTAGCATATACGATTGACTCAAAATTGTTTTCTGGTGAGTCAAGAGTTAGGTCAATCTCATCAAGCCAATGAGTCTACCCTGGTTCAGAATACCAGTAGGATTCACGTCATTGAGGTGGCTTTAGACGTTCCCTTTCCACATCCAAACCACTACCTGTGAACATGGGCATAAACAGTTGATCTTCTTCTATTCCTCTTCTTCCTCCCCCACTTTGCACAGGAAGCTTCTGCAACAAATGAAATGCCAATTTGTATCTTTATTTACTGTTGGTTTTTTTTTAGTCCATCTGGGTAACACAGAGGTCATGACAATCACAAATTCAAACACAGTCAGGCTAAATCCTCAAAAATCAGAACAGAAGTCATGTTGATTTCAGTGGATCTATTCTGAGCATGACTAAATCTAGATCCACTCCAATGACTCTTAAAAATACACATCCTGCATAATAAATATTTCCAGCTATACTCA